ACCCTCCAGCCTCAGCCTCAGCCTCAGCCTCAGCCTCAGCCTCAGCCAGCCAAGACCCTGGGCACACATGTGCACAGGGAGGCCTCGGGGCTTAAACCTTGGACATCCTCATTTGGCTTCAGAATCTCAGAATGTCATGGTACTGCTGAGCTGCCATGCCTGGCCCCCTGAGCGTTTTATATAGTAATAAATCTTCTAATACTTTCCTGTGGAAAGTTTAAGGAAATGGCATTATAGGCATTTGATGCTTTATGTCTTTTCTTTCTTATCTAGCTTGCATTGGTGACTTGGAGAGACTGTCTGTTCAGGCCGTTGAATAAACAGGTACCTACTCGGGCATACGTGCGTATTTGTCCTCCTTCCTGAATCCTGTGCCAGCGCCGTCCGGCGCCTTCCTCTTGCTCTCTCCTCTGGAACGTCTCAAGTGGCTTCCCTCTTACGTTGTGATGGCTTTAGCTGTTTAGGGGGTATGTAGTAACGCATTTCGTTTTCTGTAATCTTCAGATCTCGTGTTTCTCTATCCTTTCCAAAGGTAACAAATGCTGTCTTAAAACTGATAGAAAAGGAAAGAAATGGTGAAACCATCAACACAAGACTGATTAGTGGAGTTGTACAGTCTTACGGTAAGTAATTTCTCTTAAATTTATTCAAAGTTTTTCTGTCAAATAGCAACTAGAGTGATGTTCTAATAGAGTAATTTTAAAATACTTTTAATATCATCACTAATCTTTTAGCATTTACAGAACTATTTATATAATTTCTCTTAAGCCAGTGAAATGTAATTTGACTTTACCCATCATAAAAGTTGTTGATCCTTTTGCCTTAAGGACATACAGATGAAAGAGACATTGAATTATTTTCTTTTCTGGTGTTCATACTGAATTACTGAGCATACAGTATGTTGGAGTGTTGTTAACTGAGCTGACTGGTAACCACAAAGCTATAGCAGCTTGAAAAATTGAGACTGAGAAACTGATAAAGTAGCACTATGTTTTCAAAACTTAGCATTGTATTTCTTTGAAAGTTTAAAATGAGTAATTTTTATGCATTTGTAATTATAAAAGTTGTCTAAATGAGCTTGACTATCATTTCGAAGCACACCCGCCGGGGTCGGGGTCACCTGCTTCTTTGTGCCTTGGGCCTTTGTCCTTTCTCCTTTTACTGAAGGAGCGTGTGTGGTACTCGTGAAGACAGAGTTCCCCAGCCCTCCTTGTCACGTTTGCCTTTTAAGCATAGCTCACACTGAATGCTACACTTAAGTATGTTTGTGAAATATACCAAAAAATAGGATAATTGAAATACAGCTCATATTTATTTCTAGTGGAATTGGGGCTGAATGAAGATGATGCATTTGCAAAGGGCCCTACGTTAACAGTGTATAAAGAATCCTTTGAATCTCAATTTTTGGCTGACACGGAGAGATTTTATACCAGAGAGAGTACTGAATTCTTGCAACAGAACCCAGTTACTGAATATATGAAAAAGGTAAGTGTAACATAGCAGCACTTGAAATAGGCTGAAGTGAAGCACTGCTGCGTGGTGTGGTGTTCTTGGTGGCATGTGGGCAGTTCCTTTGCACGCCATCTGTCGGGCGTTGTTGGGCCATTGTGTCTCCGGTGGGTAAGGGTGCTTCTCCCAATTCTTTTTTTTTTTTTTTTTTTTTTTTGGGGGATTTTTTTCTTGTGGGG